TAACAGAACGTTTATGAAGCATGAAGCGTTTCCTAAGCTTTCAATTAAAATGAAATAAAACAAAATGCTGTATCTGTGTTCATTGTAGGAAATCTCATTAGGGCACTGGTCATCACAGCCAGGCATGGCCTCATCGCCTTGTCCACCTCACTGCGCACTGGCTCAGCTCAGGCACCAAGTGTAAGTGATGTAGCCCTTCGCTGACATGGTCTTTGTTTCCAGGGTGTAACATACCACAGTGATCTCTTAAGAACAAGACCGGCACTGTGACCCCACTTTATAGATGAAAAAAAAAAAAGTCTATCAACTGGCTTTCCATAGCATCTGTTTTAAAAAATTAGGAATAGAACATAACATTCAAGAAACAATGTTAACTCCCTGAAACACTTAGCAGCTATGCTTGTATTTTTGTGGTATCTTTTTCGCCGGGGTCTTGAACTAAGAGAGTGAAGCAGAGAAAAGAAGAGAGCATGACATGAAGAAGGGGAGAGAGCAAATCAGAGAATGAAACAGACCAGTGACACGTGCTGACAGCTGGACACCAGGGAGAATTGAGCAGGGTGGGGTGGAGCGTGGGCAGTAGGAGTGGTATGAGAGCCATGATACTATGATTTATAATTAGAAATATATATTCGGTTTTCACCCCTATTTCTGGCACAGAGCTCCTAAAATACTTGGAATTTCCTAAGGGACAAGAGCAATAAAGATGTCTTATTATTCATAACATGGCCCTTTCAACCACACCTGACTTTATGTTAATGATGTGACTTTACAATCCTCCCTAAATGTGAAGGCTGGTTGCCAGGGGAACCATCAGATGAAAAGTTTGGAACTTTTAGCCCCACCCCTGGTCTCTGGGGAAGGAGAGGGACTGGAGATCGGGTTCATTCACCAACGACCAATCATCTAATCGATCAAGCCTATGTTATAAAACCTCCATAAAAAACAAAAAAGACAGGATTCGGAAAGCTTCCAGGTTGGTGAATATGTGGAGATTTGGGGAGAGGGCATGGAAACTCCACACCCCTTTCCACATACCTTGTTATGTTCTATTCCATCCAGCTGTTGCTGAGTTACAGCCTTTAATCAGACAGGAGTAACCTAATCAGAAAAATATTTTCCTGCTTTCTGTAAGCTGCTCTAGCAAATTAATCAAACTTGAGGAGAGGATCATGGGATTCTCTGATCTCTAGTTGGTGGGTTCAGAAACACATGAAACAACCTGGACTTCTGATTGGCACCTAAAGTCGGGGGAGGGAGCAATTAGGACTGAGACCTTAACCTGTGGGACTGGACGCTGTCTCCGAGAACACGGTGTCAGAATTGAGTTGAACTGTAGGACACCCGGCTGGTGTTGCAGGGTTGCTAGGTGTGTGGAAAGCCTTCAGGTCTGGGGTCAGAAGTAAAGTCGTGTTGCAGAAGAGTGTGAGAGAAAAGGAGATATATTTTCCTCAACAGGAGCTTCGACCACGCTTCTTAAGAACCAGAAAAACGAAAGAGCTCTAGGGTCAGCTTCATTTTCAAGATCCAGGAAAAGTTTAAAAATAAATAAACAAATAAATAAAATGAATAAATGAATGAGTCTAAGTTAGAGTAGTCCACAAGCAATCAGAACCAAGAACAGCAACCAAAGCCAGTATTACGATGAGTGTCTGTTCTTAGTTTGAATGGTTTTTGTTTGTTTTTCACTAGTAAAAATCTCACTAAGCTACATATCAGGGCTACTCCATTCCTGTCTCCTCCATACTGTCTGTCTCAAAAAACACTTCTACTTTCCCCAGTCCTCTGGAAACATGAATTGCATCAAAATCACTTGTAGGGCAAATTACCATTACATTTGGAGAAATTCCAGCTGAGGACAGTTTTCACCACTCCCCGAAAGGCCTCTGGACACCCACACCCAGTAGAAAAATTACGTATGAATAGTGCATATTTATAACCTGAAGCAGCTCCAAGAGAAAAGCAAGGCCAGGTACAGAATAAAGCCTCGTCTTTCCCATTTTCTATTTTTCCTACTGTTAAGGCAAGATTTCTCCTATCGTCTAAAGAAAGCAATGGCTCAAGAGTGGAGTTTTAAAAATAATGAACCATTTATCCACGAAGCCAAAATAGAACTCCTTCTCCACCTCCGGGACTTCACTCTTCTCATCTTGTTCATGAACCACAGTGGAGTTCAGTTTGAACGGCACTGGGTTAGGAGTCAGCTGGAAGTGAAGCAATTGTGTTTCAGTCCTCTGCCAGCCAGTGAGTAGCTGTGTGATCTTGGGCAAGTCATTTAGCTTGGAGTGGGACTCTCTGTTAGATAAAGATCTTCCCAGCTTCAGAAGAACACGCTATAGAACGAGACAGCTCTGGTACCTGCTTTAGGCGCCACCACTTCCTAAATGATTGAACTAGGCAAGCTGCTTAACCATCTCTACCTCAATTTCCTCAATGGTCAAAATGCGCAGACTGCACGGGGTTGCCGAGGACTCAATGAGATAAGGCTTTTAAAGAGCTTACCTGGCATGTAGTACACACTCATCAGCTTTTTGCCTTTTATTGTTATGATGATGTGTAATCTTCTCCAATAACAGTCATCTCCTGTGTGCCTGGCATGTGTCTTTAGCCAGACACTTTACTGACACACACGGATTGGGTAAGTAATGGTTTGGAACAATCAGCGCTGGAGGTAGGGTGAGGAAGGAGAGTCTGGCTGATTGCTGTTGTGTTATTTTTCTTTCTTTTATGACCCATAACCCATACTTACTGGGGCAACGTATATTCACAAACTGCCAGCCCAGAGAGTTGGAAGGGAAGCTGTTATTTCAAGGCTGTTCAGAGGGTCTAGACTGGTGTTTCGTAGTGACTACACAGAAGGAAAACTGTTAGAGAAGGGTTGATTTTAATAGCATGGTCTGCTTTGCTGTGTCAGACCTATTCCAAGTATTTGGGGGGCAAATAAATAAATATATAAACATACATATAAATAAGTGAAAGAAAGGAAGGAAGGAAGGAAGGAAGGAAAGAAGGAAGGAAGGGAGGAAGGGAGGGAGGAAGGAAGAGAGAGAAAGAGAGAGAGA